TTATCTCTACTTCAAAACAAGTCACCTATCAATTTTACCAAAATGAATAATGTTCAGTTCTGTGTTGTTACTGTTGTTGTTTTTCTTTACAGTTACAAGCATTTCCATTTTGGATAAAATCCACAAGAATAAGATGGTTTACACAATTCAGATTTTCCTATGAGATATTATTTTGTAAAATGTATCGCATAAATCAACTTGTAAAGTTAAAAATTATTTTATCATGATTTTGAATCTAATCCTGTCAAAGTAACATTTGTTTATGATATCGAACATTTTTTTAATTGTCATTGTTGTTGTTGTTGTTGACGTGTTGTGAATTAAAACAAAACAAAAACTTGAACAGTTTGTTGCAGAAGTAGAAAGCATAAATTAGTCTTCTGGCATTGTTATCCTTTCTGAGCTAAATGGTTTAATTGTGAAGCTTTCAATGCCCACCATACATAATATGAAATGAGGCTTGAGAATTCATTAGGATTAAAATAAATGTCCTTACTTACAGGTTGTCTTTAAAGGTTCTATTATCCATGTTTTGCTAGTGGATCGGGTATTTCATCTCTCATTATGTGGTTTATATTTACTGATCTATAGTTTGGTTTGTAAGGGTTAGTTTTGATTTTACAAGTTGATCAATCCGTGATCAACTCGTAAAATTTGACCTATGTCAACATGTTTTTGGAGTGTATATTAATTCAGGGTAGCAGCCGTTTAGGAATTCTTTATAAACGAAAATATTTTATTCACACATTCAGAAAAAAAATTCACCCGAGAATATCCTATTCGATAATTTACTCTTCTGACTCTACAATTATATATACATATTTGTATACACAGAATATTCTAGAATAATCGTCACTAACAATATTGGTGTTTGTCGATTTGTTAAGACCAATGAAATTACAGTTCAAGAAAGATGCATAAGTTATAATAAGCATAAAAATGTAACAGCAAATAGAATATCTACAGCAAATTAAGGATCATTAAAACCTTGATGGCCAAGGTAAGGACAGTGTCTGAACCAACATCTTCTTTTGGATAAATAAGTTGGGTTTCTAAATGTAGATTCCAACAACCTCAGTAATATGTAGTAGACGAACCTTTAAGGTAAAGTTAACACTAGTTGGTATGCGGTAGATGACTTTGAAAGCTTTGTTAACATCAATCTTGTGTTCTGTATCCACAGGATGATATAAAATAGAGCTATGAGTGGATTTTGTTTGCCCTCTACTTAATCACACAGAACGGTGTTCAGAAATCCGACGAATCTGCTTAAAACTCCAACATTCCTCCAGTCTATTTGGTGCCTATAGTTTTTCTCAGACATTGGAGGAATAGATATTATGTCTTTTGATCGTTAATTTAATTTTGCAAATATTAAAAAAGAAATGAACTGCCATTTTTCACAGTTAATGCAATTGGTTTTGCGGATTGTATTGTTTTCATCTTGTTTTAGTGTGGAATCTTTTGACTCACTTAGTATTAAATCAGGTGACTGTGCGAGCTTGTAACTAATACCTATTGCACAATTACTTGTAAAATAAGCAGGAATTTTAGAAATATTCTTCATTTATGATGGTTTTACACTGATTGTTTGATTTGAATGAAGATATATTTTTACGAAGTTCTATAGGCTGGCATTTTTATGAACGGCGAACAGAAGGCATTTTGCTTCTGTTCTCTTCAGAGAGGGTTGTTGTAGTGTGTTTAACATCCTTTGAATAGTGTTCGGAAACATTTTCTTTTGTGTGCTATTAGACTCTTACTATTGCTGTAATTAAGTATTCAGCTTTTTCGATCAGACACTAGTCAGTGACTAGTGTAGTGTGTCTAGTCCTTTGTTTATTGCAGACTGAATTCTATCAGTAAAGTTTGCAATATGGCCATCATGCCAGTAGGTGGCTCACCATCACGGTGCACTGTGAATTGTTGGTATTAGATGGTTGGAGCCAATCAATAGGAAGCCTTGGACCTAGGTTTCGTGCTTGTTAGCAGCCATCAGCAAGGTGTATCTGCACTCTTGAAGGAAATTATTTCCCTTCCGAGATTCTGACCTGTGTCACCCAGTGCTTCAGTCAGAGACGTTGCTACGGGGCTATACAGGTTCGCGATTGACCTCCTGTAGGACCGTATTGGATATTTTTAATTGCATACCAGTCAGTAAATTGTGTGATGTGTCTAGTCCTATATTTGGTGCGGACTGAATTCCATCAGTCAAGTTTGTGTGGGTTGTTTTTGTATATACTTATCCTTTCTCATATTGTTTTTGTACTTGCTCACTAGACCAAGACATTAAAGAATCAAACTTTTGTTGCCTCATTTCTTTTCACTTGTAAAATTGATGTCCTTAAAAAAGGTATCGGTTAATTTGTGAATGCTTTCTAAATCATTTCGTCTCCATCATTTAGCAGGCATAATTCATTCACGTGGTGCAAATAGGTACAGTTCTTAAATAATTTTAAATATTAATTGAAATATTTCGATCAAGTTTGTAAAAGATGATTGAAAATTTCGCATCAAAAGATATTTGACTATATTCAAACAAATTTGCTCGCAGAATTAAAGTCTGATTTCCATGGTTTACGTGAAGAAAATACAGGAACTGAATTTGTATCGAACTGGAGCAAAGTTATGCCACAGGTTTAGTCTATTGTATACTTAACTGACTAGACAAAAGATGCTGATATAAAGAAATAATAATAGTTTCAAGATAAGGGTAAATGATACAATAATGCACAACAGTGTATCGAATGAAAAACAAGGAAGAGGAAAAAGCTATACATCATTCTAAAACTGTCAGGAATAATACATAAAATCGATGAAAACTTAAGACAGTAATTTTGACAGCGTGGAAAATAGTTTCTGTGAATTTATATAAGTTACATGGAAAAAATGACAAAGATGTTACTTTTTGGATTGTATACTTTCAAATATTATTTTTTATTCCTTTCTGTTCCGAGTGGAACATAGACCTCCAAGATTAAGCTCCTCAGCTTCAGTAGTACTGGTGTTGTCTTTTTACGAGACGAAGTTGTTAGCATCACACCCAACCTTCCCTCGTTATCGAACTTACTGTTGGCTAAGCGAGGTTAAGGAGTTCGTCGGCCGGGTATTGGACCCAGGAGCATGTGCACAGCCGGCGAGCATTCTACCACGGAACCACCGGCGCACAAAAACCAGGGAATAATGGACAGCTGTTCCATCCTAGATTGGAACTCTTCAGCAGCCCCACACGCGGGGTTCCAACCCAGGGGCTCCTGATTACTTAGTACAAGTGCAAAGATAATAATAAGTGCCATGAATGAGAAAAAACAGATATCGGTGAAACGAAATAAGGGTTTAAGTATTTTGAAGAACTGCCTTTGAATTATTTGGACCCACTTTGGTTTCATTCAGTCTAAATATTTGTTCATATGATTTGGGCATTTTTAACATTCCCATCTATGACGCACACAGATCAAGAGATGGTAAATCTACAAATTGGTTTAATAACTTCCCCATAAACATATCCAGCAGAGTTAAAACAGAAAATCAGACCATCCGGTCGAAGAATACATACAGCAGAACCTACTGGCTCCGAACAGACATGACACGGGGTCAAGTTTTTATTGAGTGTCTAACAACATGATCATAGTTTTATTTGTGAGAATTTCTAAGTTCTGATACACAGTAGGGAATTTCCGAAGGCATGCTACTTAGATTAAAAAGCAATTAAAAATATTCGAGTTTGGATATTATTGATCAGATCATAAATAGCACACGGAAAGACTATTATCCTAAGAACAACAACAACAAAATTCTTACGCGTTAGACAATAAACTCGAACAGGAAATAGTCAGTGATTCAAAGATTGCACGACAAATGAAATATGAGCTGAACTAAGAAAATATAAACAATTACAAACCAAAGATAAAAATAACAGAAGTTCTTATTTTCTATAGTTGGTTTGTAGGGATTAGTTTTCTTTTACGAGTTGATCACGGATTGATATCAGCTAGAGAACCACTGAAAACCACCAATGAGTCCTGGACAGCTGTTTCATCCTAGTTTTGGAATCATCGGCAGTACGCACCCACAAACCAGGACCTTCCGGTTACAAGGAAAGCTCGTATACCATTCAGCCACTGGGACCTGATTCAATCTGTGATCAACTCGTAAAAACAAAACTAATCCTTACAAACCAACTATAGAAAATTAATCTGATACTCGCTAGTGACTTGCTACAAGACTGAATTTCCTAAAGTTCTAGTGAGAAGTCGTGACCAGTGAGGTCCATCCAGTCAAGTGTGAGGATGGATGTCCCACCAACGACATTGGTTGAGGTCACGCTAAAATGCCGAAATGGTAGAAGTTAGAATTCATGGGCCATTGAGTCGAGTGCCAGTGGCTGACTGGTATACGAGCTTGCCTTGTATCCGGAAGGTCCTGGATTCGAACCCTGGTGTGTGGGTGCGTACTGCCGATGATTCCCAAAACTAGGATGAAACAGTTGTCTAGAAGTTTTTATCTCAGATCAAACAATAAAGGAAGTATATCCTTAAATACACTTCCCAAAACTAATAATTAAGAGCTCATCAATTTGAAGAAGGCAGAAAAATCTATCGCCGTCAAAATCTAACAATCAACTTTAATTTTAAAGAAGGAAACATCTCTAAAGCCAAGAAAAATAAAACCCGACTTAACTTCAATAAGAACTACAGTGGTAAAACTGATGACAAATCTGAAGAAAATTGATACAAACACAAATGAAAAGAAAAATAGTTTTTCTACTGACCAATCGATGAGAAAAGAAGGATGCCAGCAAGACCCATTTTATCTATCCTAAACAAAATATCTCCTGTGGATACAAAATGAAGATATCAGGTTCACTTCCACAAGAATGTCAACGAATCCAATTTTTAAATTAAAGTCAACAGCTTAAGAAATAAAACCTAAAGGGTTATAAAGAAACAGAGAGATAAAAATATTTTATGAAAAATGAAGTATCACTCATGATTACTTACGTTGGTTTTCCAGCTTCAGCTAAATCTGTTTGTAATCTTGGACCACCTTCAACCTCCATTGTACAATATACCATTTTATTAGTTGGTAAATGTTTAAGATTTTTCACCTGACCAACAACAATCTAATCAAGAATGAAAAAGAAAAGAAAGAAAGCAGTATGAGAGATAATAATATAAGCTCAGCTCACTGAGAAAGTTTTCAATTCGATGAACTTTAACCTTCTTGAGTTGCTATGTAGACGTACAAGCTGACACAATTTATCAGATTTTTCTGTTCTCTGTCTTCTCTCACTTTCATCCCCTTTTTTCATAGTTGGAAAGCATATAAATTGATGGTGACTTTAACTAATAATTGTAATGCTTATATTCCGGATAAGTTCATCTTGTAATATTTTCTCTATTACCTTTCTAAAACTGAAGTATGAAATATCACTGTTTTCAACCATTATAATTTCAGGTAGTTTGCAGCTGATGAGAATCTGTGAAATAGAATTATATCATTTAATACTGCTTGCAAATCTGGTCTTTCTTTCTCTGTCGAAATTTATCAAAGGAACCAAATGTATAAAATGAAGGTATTTCTAATCAAGTTAATTAGAACTTCCCAGTATGTGATATGTTTATGGTTTAATGTCACACAAACTCGAAGACTTGCAGGCAAAAACCAACAAACTGGCAAAAGAAGCAGCCAGTGAAAACAGAACTCCAGGTGAACATAGAGAAGACGGAAGTGATGAAGATAACTAACCAATAGCAACAACAAACAGCACAAATCGCTATCAGCCGGAAAAATTTGAAAGAGGTCACTTCCTTTTCTTATCTAGGAAGCATTGTTTCAACCACAGGTAGTCGGAGCGGATAAAGATGTCGAAGCAGGTCAGGAACGGAAAGGCAAGATACGCCTCCATCAGCCTAAAATCACTTAGGAAATCTTCCGCGATCCGCCTCAGTTAATGCTTCTATATGGGTCAGAAACTTGGACTGCGCATCACGAAAAGGAATTGCCAACAGGCCACTGCAGACTTTCATCAAAAGCTGCCCACTTCACTGGCTACATACTGAAGATCAAATGACCAGTCAGCCAGCCAGAAAGAAATAACAACAAGAAACTCTGGCTGGGAACAAACCAACCAAGAACCTATCGTTCAAGAAATATGTAGGAGAAAGTGGAGATAGATTGAATATATGATGAAGAGACCCTCGAATGATATCGTGCTCAATGCAGGCCATCACTCGAGTTGAACCCGAAAGGATAACGACGAGCGGGTTTTCCAAAGATGACATGAAATAGATCGTGCCAGGAGATGAAAGACTATGGTCAATCGTGGACGCGGCTGAAGAGGAGAGCAGAAAATAGAAGAAAGTGGAGATGTGTTGTTGAAGCCCTATATTTCATTCGGAACCCAAGGGAACAATAATAATAATACAACTTTCAATGTAATATTTAATAATATATATAATATATAGAACAGAGCAACTACAGTAGCTGGAATAAGCCAGTAAATTCTCACATGAACGGGGAGTTATCCTCCTGAATAGCTCAGCAGAACAATGTCTAATTTTAATAACCAATGCCACCAATTAAAATTATAGTATGAACACAAATTGTAAAGTCTTTTAGTTCAGTTATGTGTTTTTTTACTCCAGTAATGATGAAGTTTTTCATATTTTTGTAGTCTTTATTACTTTATGTCAAAAGCTTGCTAGATAAACTAAGACTTCCCAACCAATCAATGTATTCCAGCCTGAAGTTGTGTGTTAATGTTTGCGTAATGAAAATCAAGTTATTTTTCCCTCATAACTAAGTTTATTAGGGTTTATCTTTCCAGACGTAAACATATTTCAACATTCTAAATGACTGAATGTTCTTAGTAAGCTTTATGATTTAAATGCACAAAACATCGTAATTGACAAGTGGCGTGTGTTTTTACAAATTCAATTACTTTGTAAGTCAGTCAAATCTTTGAGTTGATAAAGTTTATCTCTAAGTAGGGATTTCAGCGATTTTGCCATGCATTACAATGTCTAGGAAACTTCGAGTTCTTGATTATTTCTGTTTTCATTACTGGTTCCAGTACCGACCCTGCTTTCTTGTGTACTCCTAAGAATCTTACCAAAGCATTTACGAGGATGTCGACTGAGTGGAATTCTGAATTTCACTAGTTGCATCTACTTATTTAGTTTACTTGATTCATAATTTAAAGCGTTAATCTGATTACTTAAAAGCTTTATGTAACCTCCTTTAACTAACATGAGATAAGAAAGTTTAAAGGCAAAATACCTGTTAAAGTGTGTTTGTTTTCTACAGATGATAACAATAATAATAATCTTAATACCATCATCTATCTATCTGGTTCGTCATGCAACTGCATACTTCTAATTTTCAATCTCCACAACTAGTTATTTCACTTAGCCATACTGAAAGAAGCTTACTGGTAGAATAAAAACGTTGCATTCTGCTTTAGTTTACTTTATTTTTTAAAGGAAATGCTGAAGTCGATATGGACACTCCAGTAATTATTTATTTAAACAAGGAACGTGCTGTTTTCATACTATATTATTTAATTGTGTTAAGCAAAGATAGAAAAAAGAAAAACTTTGAAGAGACAAACATATTGGTGTGCAGTAGGAGTACAATTTAGTCAAACATTATCTTTTTTAAAGCTGCTAAACATTGTTCTTTCCTTTCTTCCTCTTTCTCATCCATTATCCTATTCCCATATATCATAAGCCACTAGCACTACAGACATAAATAAAATAATACTGTCATAATAATATTGCAAGTAGAATTACTGGTTACTAAGAGATTGTTATTGGTAAGATAACAAAAATATAAGGACCAGAATGTTAAATAATTTTCATTGAGTAAATTTGAAATGAACCTGAAGATCTAATTAGCTTTATTTGGTTAATAGCGGACACTTAGTGGCCGAAACGTAAGCACTGAGGGTGATTTATCTCATCCTTCTGAATCTATATAATGGTCTTCGTATTTGCCCACTTCATAAAGCCAAAGTTTGATTGTACACTAGCTAATGACTAGCGTAATGTATATAGTCCTAACTTTGATGAAGACTGAATTCTATCAGTCAAGTTTGCAATGTGGCTACCATGCCACTAGGTGGCTTGTCATCACCGTGCAATTTAAATTGCTGATTGGAAACAATCCGTAGGAAGCCTTGGACCTGCGTTCCGTGCTAGCTGGCACTCATCAGTCAGCAAGGCGTATCTACAACCTTGAAAGAATTCATGTCCCTTCTGCGTTCTAGGTCCAGGACTTCCTGCCGACTGCCTCCAGACGTATAATATCAACAAATCACAATGCACCATGATGCCAAGTCACCTAACATGATTGTCACATTGCAAACTTGACTGATAGAATTCAGTCTGCACCAAAGATAGGACTACACACACACATTACACTAGTTACTGACTAGTGTCCAGTAAAAATATCCAATTCAGTCCTATAGGATGTCAATCGCGAGCCTGGATAGCTCAGTGGAAACGACTCTGACTGCAACACTGGGTGCCGCAGGTTCGAATCTCAGAAGCGACATGAGTTCCTTCGAGGTTGTAGATACGCCTTTCTAACTGATGAGTGCCAATTGGCACGAAACCTAGGTCGATGGATTCCTGCTGATTGCCTCCAGCCACCTAATAGAACCGAAGTTATGGTCATAGGAATTAATAAGCCCAGACTATGAGTCAACAGACAGGGTTTGTACGGCTGTTATCTCTCCCTTTGGCCTGTTCAATCATCAGCTGCAACAACCCTACCGCTTTATATATTATTAATTTTCTATAGTTGGTTTGTAAGGGTTAGTTTAGTTTTTACGAGTTGATCACGCATTGATATCAGTTAGAGAACAGCTTTCCAGTACTCCCTGGTTTTCAATGGTTCTTTAACTGATATTATTAATTCTTTTCTAACAGTTTTTATCATTGTTTCCTTAGTCTTACTGCAACTTCATTAAAAATCAGTTTACACACTTCCCTTACAACCCAGCATTACGTAATCTTGGTACTCGTTTTCTATACATCTCTATCTAATGTGTCAATTTGGATACTTATTTGTATAACCTCTATGTTTTGCATAATTTCAGCAGTTAGCAACAGCGATCAAAACAAAAACAAATGCTGACATAACATATGCATTTCTGATGAAACAAAAATGAGGACATATTTAGTCGACCAGCTGAGTTTGAACATAAACCTCAGCACAGAAATGCAGCAGTTCAAGTTCTCACACTCCAAATAGAGAAAAAGGAGTAAAATAGGGATTCAAAAGAATTGTAATAAGCAAAAATATGAGGAGGAGACAGAATAGTAACATGGAAAAACAATAGGGTTTCATAGATACGGCGAGATCACAAAGAGTGAAGGCATCTGAGTCACTGAGAATGATTTTGAGACTTATCACCAAATAGTCCCTAACTGTTGGTTCTTACCATCCACCTGAGGACTCCAACTAACCAGCCTACACCTGTCTGCGTAGCTCACACCAAGTGTCAAAGACTTCATGAAATCAGAAAGATTGAGCGAAGAAATATTTACTTTTCAGTTAGATTCTCATCTCTGGCTCTACTCTAATATACACCTATAGCATTTTTATTACAATACACAACAGTTTACCAATAAAGTGACGATATGTTTGTTACCAATAATTAAACAGTGTCAAAATGTCAATGGGTTGATAATTAACGAAGAAAATCAATACTCATTTAAAAGGTAGAAATGGCTAGAATAAATTAATTTTAGAAGGGTAACACGTAATTAAAGATGAAGTGGTCAGAAAAAAATAATTTAGACAATTATAATTTTTATAATTTTAAAGGTTTAGGGGGAGGGGGGAGAAGTAGTCCGGTTTACACATTCATGTAACGATGGTCAAGGCAAGGAAAGTGGCTACACAAATTTCTTCCCTCATTTCAGCTTCACCACCTCTAGCTCCTTTTCCACCCTAATCCCATGTTTGTTAACATTGCTTATAGAGGAAGGCAATGGCTCGGCATACTCAGCACTTGTCGCAGCTATCTCATTAAGTGTAGCTTCATAAACTCATTGATTGGTTTCCCCTCATGATGCAACAGTCTACGTCTAACCTTAGCATTGCTTACCATAT